GAACGATCAATAAATGTAAAGAAAAATGCAAAACTGATTTCAAAACTATTAATTTAATGTGTATCTATAAATGCAATAAAAGTAAGCATTTCTTTCTTGTTTTTTTTTTAACATAAATGTATATAAATTAATAATTAAATTTTTAAAATTAATAATTAATTAATTAATAATAAATTTCTATTAATCTTAATGTTCGAATTGCATTTTGCAATGGTATACAAATTTTGCCTGGCGGAAGTTAGTTTCGGTTCATTTAATATTATAACATTGTAATAGCAGTGATTAGCTTACTCCCGCCTATGCCTCTGTAAGCCTCTGCCTCTCCCTCTCTTTCTTACTCACAATAACATTTGGAATGCCTGCCTCCCACTGTTACAGCGCTGTAGAGATGGCGCTTACGCTCTACTTCTCTGTTCTCTCTTTCTCTGTTAGCTTGCCTCGGGAAGTATAAATAGAGGCACTTCGATCGCCGCGAGCTCAGTCAGTCCTAGGGGTACCTAGTGTTTACATCGGTGGTGAAAGTGATTGTGATAACTCTTCAACAGGCAAAAAGATGACGTGGCCAATGGAATGCATTCGGATCGGCAAGAAGAAGCACATTTCGATGGATACCTAATTAACTCTACACCGAAAGGAATTTAACAATGAAGAAAGATGACGTGTCCTATACAGGGGTAAGTCTTTACTATCAAAATTATTCATTATTATATTATATAGATTAAGATGATAAGTGATCAGAAGTGCTAGCTATGCATTTATTTTCTAATTAATTCTCGTATTACTATTAAACCCATTTCTTAATTTTAACTAAAAGTGACACAGCAAGTTTTATTAGGCATATATAAAAACGTATACCTAAAGTTAAATTAATTATAGATTAGGTATATTGATTGTTTATCCAACTTTTGCTACAATATTATACCCTGGCAGGGTATTATAATTTTAGTCAGAAGCTTGCAAAGCTGTTAAGGAGTAATTTCCGACCCTTTAAACCATATATATTCTTGATCAGCGTCAAACGCTGATTCATTCTAGCAATGTCCAGTAAAAAAATACATTTTTTTTTAATTTTTTAAAATTTTCAGAATTTTATAATTTTTTATTGTCTAAATTTGACAAAGAAAAATCTTATTTTTAAATTTTAAAACTTAGCATGCAGATTTGTTACCCATATAAAAACTAGCACAAAACAGCTATCCGAATTAAAATTAATGCATTTTTGGCTTAGTTATGATATTTGGAAAACTTTGATTTAGTTCGAAAATGAGCATATTAAAATATCTATTTAATATACGTAAAATCTATATATTTTAGGATTTCTTGTAGGTTTAATAATAATAGTCAAATATATTTTGATTTACGATGAAAATCGTAATCTTAAGATTCAACAACAAATTTCACTAATTTTTTCAAAATTTAGTAAGGGGACAATCATACAAATTGTCAAGAATTCATAAAATGTTAAAGTTTTTAAATATAAAAATAAAATATAAATTATAACCTAAATGAAGCTATGACAAAAAAGCTGTGAACACAACCTCGATTTGTGACTAATTCTGTTACAATTATCGGAAATCATAAGACTTGATCGCATACAAGTAAATAATTTATAATTAATACAACTGAATAGGATAGGATATTTTATTGATCAAGGATTTTAAGGCAACTTTCTCTGCGTGCATAGACTTTCGGCTGGCATTGTATTCCAAGGTTTGGACTGTGGTAAACGCTGGGCGAAATCATTTCTGCAGATACTGCGCTGGCGACTTATGCATACATACATTTGTCTTCGCAGGGGTGTCCTTTTTGGGGAAGGATACACCAGCCCCTCCTCCGTCCCAAACGACAGCGTATGTGTTTTGTGCGCTGCTCCTGCTTTTTTGCAGTTTTTGTTTTCGCTCTAAGTTTTTTTGCTTATTTTTTATATTATTATTTTTTATTTTTTGCATTTTGCTGTGGCTGCGGTTGACTCGCGATATTTATTATTGTTGCTGAAATTGCTGTGTATCCTCGCGCCGGGAGTCCTTTCCCTTCGCGCCACTGCCGCTGCTGCTGTTGTTGCTGCTGGTGACGCATTTAAGGCTTTTGCGGCATATAAATAAAAAACTAGCAAAGCGGAACAAGAAACATAAAATGGGGAAGGAGCCGAGGCGATGTTCCAAATAAAAAAAATGAAAAAAATGAAAAAAGACAAAGAGGAAGTAGGATGTAGGATGTAGGAAGTGGAAAGGAGGCGGGCGTCGGGAGTTGGGTGGCAGGAAGGATGGACCTTAAGCTTTGGCCAGCGTGGCAAAGAAGAGCATCTGGGATGCGCCAATGCTTGATTTATTGAAAGCAGTCCCGCCAGGATGGCCTCCTTCGACCACGCCTACTTACTGCGAACTTGCGAGTCCCCGCCCGAAATAAATAATCCTTTGGCTTGGCTTTTGAATTTATTATGTTTTGTTTTGCTCATTCTTTTTTATTTGGCTTCTTCATCGATAGTAGGTTTGATTATTAGTATTATTTTTATAATATTTTCAATTTTCATGGGTCTTAGTTCGTCTTTTTTGTTTGGTTGTTCTTGTTTCAGTTTCGCTGTCGCTTTCACTCTTTGCTTTCGCTCTCGTTTTTCGCTTTCATTTAGTTCTCTTTTGTAGCTTGGTATCGTTTATCGTAATCGTTATCGTTATCGTTATGCACCTGTATATCTCATATTTAGCCTACAGTTAACATTACTATATATAGTGAAATAATGCAATGCGCTTATGATCGCTCTTCCTTTACTATTTTAGACAAAAATAATGATAATGTGGCTCACACAATTATGCTATTTTACAATTAATCGAAGTCGGTATCGCAGTATTAACAATCGATATTGCTCTATAAGTATTATTATTTCTTTTCGATTAGAGAGGGGGAATTCTTATAGCATTTATCATTTAATGGGTTACAAAAAAAAAAAAAATTAATCACCGATATCTATAAGTATGTTAATATGTATATAGTTTGTTTGCGTTTGTAGAAATTAGGAATGCCACAGAATTCGCCAGAGGAAGTTTATCTTCCTTTACATTTTAGAGACCTTCTGAAAAAAAAAGATTTCATTTCACCAAAGGATTCCGGTGGCAATCCTGATAGAGTTTTGTGCCGAATGGTCAGCATGTGGATTGCGTGTTTGTTCTCGCCTGGTTTTCGCTCGTTAACACATCTAATTGGACTAACAATTCGCCTGGGCTTCAGTGGGGATACTGAGTTACAAGGATACAAGGATAGGAACACACACACACACACATGCGTGCAAACAAACACGGATATGTACTTTCTCGTGCACCGAGAGAGAACAGCTTTTTTATGAAAGTTATTTGGGTTTCACATCGAATATCATACTTAAAGTTATACAGGAACTGCCACAGAAATCGCTCTAGATTTAGAATTAATTAAAAAGATGGAATGATATATTGCAAAACGAGAATACCAGAAAAGTTACTTGGCATAACATTTTGTAGCATACTTTTTTGGACCACATTTCAAGCGATTTGAAATCTTTAGCGATTTCTGTGGAAAACCTGACAGACTTGGCTACAAAATGTACAATTTGGTTAATTATAGTTTTGTCTTTTTCAATAGTTTTTCTTCTTCTTATTTTCCCTTTTCTTTATAATTTAGCTAAGCAAGTTAGTAATTGATAAGAGTTCACCACCTGTAACCCCTGATATGTACAGTGCGGAAATCGTCGAGGATCGGTATTCTCTGCACCGCCGACGAGACCCCCTTCTTTTTTTTATTTGGATCTGTGAGTTCATCGCAAACGTTATATCACATATTTATCCATATAATAATAATAGTTGTGTGTACTCGTCGTATAGTTCTTTTTTTCTTTCACTTGATTTTATAAAATAAGTACAAATGCCGTTTCCGTTTGCTCGTTTTCTGTTTTTAGATTAACTATCGTAGATACAAAGATACAAGATACTGTACTGTGGCATTAATTGACTAGACTGCTATGCATATATCCATGTATACACTATATCCATCTGGCTAGGTAATGCAGATGTTTCTGTTTTTTCGCTCTTTGTTTGCTTGCTTATTTTCACATATATATTTATTGATAAATATATATAGATGAATGTATAAATTGCATCTTTATTAATTGGCCAATAAATTTTCCCAGTTATTTATGAACTATCAACTATGATAAAAAAAAAAAATTTGTTGTGTTCCATACACACACACATGTACATATGGTATATATATATAGCTAGGTTTATATAGATTCCACAGTCACATATACAAATACAAATACAAATACATATGCTTAAATGCGCTTAAATCGGATTTTGTCTATGCCGCCATCCATATGTGCTCACTTTATGATTTACACACATTTGACTCGAAATTCGATATAATAATTTAGTACTCAATCCGCAGTACGCATTTTGCATTTTCGCTTAACGAAAGTCACAATTTCTGCAATTCGCAATTCGTATTTCGCATTTTCGTATTTCACATTTTACATTCCGCATTTAACGCAAACAGAAACCGAAAATGGCAACAGAGAAACGTAAACAACTAACAAACAAAACGTAACGGAACGCCCTTAGGGCCCCAGGATATGCAGGATGCAGTATCCAGTGTATCCTGGTTGCAGGATTAGCCCAGGGTTCAGCATTTTTTCGGTGCAGAATGGCGGTATGCCCAGGTTGGGGGCTGGGGTACTTGGGTTTTTTGGGTGGCAGCGGCTGGCGGAATGGCATCAGACTCTCTCTCAGATTTCAGATTTTGCATGCGGATAGCAAAACTGCAGCGTTTTACATTTGACAATTTGTTGCTTTTTACTATATATGCCACACATATCCATATACACGAAACTATACGTATATAGAAGTGTATTTATTTATATGTATATAGTTGAAGACAGATACCCTGGCAGTCGCGAGAATCGAAGGGAATTCAATGGAAATGGAAATGTTGATGGAGACAGACTTTGGCTAAGGATTCAATTCAATTAGCTTTTGCTTCCATGATGATCTTGACTTGCAGACTGCAGTTATCTGAAAAAAACATAAAAATATATAATTTAGACTGATCGGTATACGTTATGATGTAGAAAAAATATTGTAAATCAATTTTCCGATATATTTTCCGATCCGTATCGATAAATATTTGCAAGCCATTCTTTTTAACAAACAACTTCTCATACATTCATTTCTATTCTAATTTCTTATATTTAAAATAATATGTACGTTTTTATTTCCAATCACTGCTTAATAAAACTTTAGCATCTGCGTTAACCTCACGTGAAACCGAAAGTTAAAAGGTCCTTTGGTAAGATTAGGAAAAGTTCACTAACAGAGTTACCCTTACCATTTCCGTTCTGCTTTAAGTTTGAGGCCAATAAGTTTGGTTTGAAGTTCGAGGGCAGTAGCCCTGACTTTCGGCTGGAGATGCCTTAAAACAGATTCGAAACGCAACTTGTCAAGTAATAAACAAACTGCTCAGTCGAAAAACTTGAGAAGCGAACCCCGTTTAGCTCGTTGAATTGCCAGTTCACAGGGTCCCCAACTAGTTGAGCTCTCTTGAAGGACATTCGCAATTTTTATACATTCATCCCACCCAACTCCTCTCTCTCTCTGTTTGTGTGTGTTTACAACAATAAAACGCTTCGTTGTCATAGCTCAAGCAGATTGATGTTCAACACAGCATTTTCCGACTCCTAGCCAGGTCGGGACTAGGACGAGGACGAGGACGAGGTTGATGATGACGATGTCATCATCGCAACAAGCAACATTCGAGTGCACTTACATGCCTATCTATCGTATATATCGTATATCTATATGTGCGGATATATCTGTGTGCGGCCTTCATCTCCCCTGACATCTGTATGTAGTGCTGTGTCCTGGCTGTGTCCTGGATCTGTCCTGCTCCTGGCCCCCGGCCCTGTTCCTGGTCGTCGGGCAAGTGCAGTGCAAAGTTGGCGGCGCCTTGATTTATGTCCCAGTTGAATGTCTGTCGGTCGGTCTGTCGTTCGTCCCTGGACCGAATCGTTCCCTGCTCCCTACTCCCAGCTCCTTGCTCCTTGGCCTCTTCCTTGAATTTTCGGCCATGGCAATCTCTCTGCGGAGTTTACTTGAATTGTGTACACACTCGCGGCTTGTTTGTGCTTTTGATTTGATTTATATTGCCGACTCAAGAGCATGAAGAGCATGTTGTTGATGCGAATGTGAATGGGCCAGGACACTCTGGGTTGGCTTCTGCTTCTGCTACTACGACGATGATGATCTCTGTCTCCTGTCGACTTGCGAGTGAACCGTGCGATGATCGGACCCGCCTGACAGCCAAAGCACTTAGCCGTACCTCCTGGCCGTTCGGAGAGCCTGGCTCATGTGATTTGCATGTGTCACATCAGTTTCCGGTGACAGCTCGCTGGCATCTCGGATCTCACATCACATCTCCACATCCACATCCGCATCCGCATCAGCATCAGCATCACGCATCACGCACTCCATCTCCTTGCCGCTGTTAGCCTCCGGTTTTTAACCCACTGAAAAGTTTGGCAACTGAGACAAAGTCAAGCCTCGGGCATAGGCGATTTTTCAATTAGTTGGCAGTCAGCCTCCCAGCACTCCCAGCCACTCCACCCCGAAACTGACATCTACAAATTTTGCTGGGCTTTAGGCCATGAGCCTCAACAGGGTAGCTTCGTAGCTGGGAACAGCAACTGAAATCCTACATAATTAAAATACTTAAAGGCTTTAAAGGCAGCAGCAAAGTTTTTAACTTTTAAATTGTTGAGCCAGGCCCAATGTTCTACCTTCTACTCTGCACAGCAGCAGGTTCATTGTGGCATACAGAAAGGGCGCACATGTGTAGAAATGCTTTATGGGGGGGTTGGAGTTTTCGGTTTTTGGGTGTGGGTGCTACTCCTCTGCCTGTGTGTGCTCAACTCACTAAGCTTACTTAAGCATTTTTGCCTCGGCCTTCGCCTCCGACTTCGATGTCAGTCGCAATCTCAGCCTCAGTCTCAGTCTCAGTCTTGGCGGCCAAAATCGCGTCGATAAAGTTGTTCCTTTGCTCCTTGACTGGGTTGGATCTACCTTTACAGTGCCTCCCCAAGTCTCAATTCCTGCTTCAATTTCGCGTCTGACAGGGGGAGAATGGTGAATGGATATAAAGTCGAGCAAGTCTTTCTTGTCTTGGCTGGCCAGAAATTAGCCGAATTGATTAAGAGAGTAAAGTCTAGCAAATAACATTTAAATGAGGGTTTTAATGTTTTTTTTTTTGGTGGGGGAATTCCCTATTCTCCATGTTCAAACCTCAAACTATTCCCTTGGCCCGCATTGCTCATACGCCCCGTGTGTGTGCCGGGTGCCATTGGACTCATTACGGGCGACATTAATTGACAGGACACCCACATAGATTTTCATAATTTTTGTTATTAGATAAACACACACACATACGCACACAAAATTAGCAGGCAGGAGGCTGGGATCATCTGCTGCCTGCTGCATATTTTATTAGATTTTAGCTACCTCTCTCTCTCTGTCACCCTCTCCTCGTACTCGTATCCTTGCTGTAAGGACCAACACGAACACGAAACCCCAACCTGATTTCGCCTCGCTTTGACCTCGGCTTAACGATTTTGCTTTGTCATTTGGTCGTTTAATTATGTGCATGGAAATTTATGTGCGACTCCTTGACTTTAAATGAAGTGTAAGGACCATTGGCAATCCTTTTTCGCCGCCAGCTGTTGGGGCCAACGGCACCGACCCCGACCTTGGACCTACACTTGGATCTGCAACCCCCTAGTTATTTATGGTCCAGTCGAGTCTGATAATGCAGAGGAAAGGAAAGAGTACAAAGTGAGAGAGAGAGAGAGAGAGTGAGCCAAGGAGTCGGCATGGAGGCTGATTAAATTTTGTATTAGCTCAATAAATTTGCAACCAGGCAAAGAAGTATAAAAATGCCCTGTGACACGCAAATGGACGTCGCTTAACCCGCCACTGGCCGTTGTCATATTTCAGGACAACCCACCAGCCACCACAGTCACTCCCCAGCCTCATCCTCATCCTCATCCTCATTCTCATCCTCATCCTCGTCCTCCACACACCCAGCAGAGATACTCGCAAATACAGTGGGAGCCAACGGAGGCAGTCTTGTATCCATTGTGGTTGGACTCTAATTTATGTCGCTGGTAATTTGCCAGAGATTTCTGCGTTGGCTGAAGGATAGAGGACGGAGGAAGGGTTGCCTTTGGTCTAATGGTTGATGGGCTATGGCCCAGAGACCGGGGGGACCTTTGCATATGATGAGTAAGCAATGATCCAGATGGAGTCGCCGATTAGCCACTGACTGCTAGGAAGCATCCAGCGATACCTTAATGGGGGGTAGATAAGGATGATGGAGTAATGACTTTTCGAAAAGGATTATTCCGGAAGGGTTCTTGGGCATAATGTTCACATGAATGAAGTGTGGTTAATGTGGGGAAACTCAAGATATGATGGGAGACATATGCATAGGCCTTGATAAGGCTTCTCTAGAGTTCTTAGGAAGTTAAGTACTTATGAGATTTCAGTTCCTATAATTAAATTAAAGAAACAGGAACTATGTATCCTATATATCCATATCCTTTTTCCCCTAAACAAATTGTGGGAAATCCAAAAGCTAGCTCCACCTTTGGTCAAGCTTAATCACCACCATCGGTGCTCCTTTCTAATCCCTTCGTTAATGACGCAAGTTAACCAAAGCGTTTTGCGACCCCTGGCAATGCAATGCGGGTGTAATCGATAGCCAGGAACACTTACTCAGGACAATCTGCTCGGGGTTCCATTCCTACCCATCACCAGAATGGGAATCAGGACCAGGAATCGTCGCCCTCTAATCTAGTCTTTTCAATTTGCAACTCTCTCTCAATTGCATTTCACTTTCCGCCCCACGTTTTTACAGCATCGTCGTCGCTGATTTTATTTATCGCCCTTCACTTTCCCATGTTTGCTTTTGGTCCGGGTTGTCCGGGAACATTTATCACAGCCTTGCAGCAGGACGAAGGATGGCTGGACGGACGCAGGGACCCTGGTTGATTCGGCGGGGACTCCAATTTAAGCTTTCTGAATGGGGAAATGCTAAATCGGGCAACTGGGATATACATATGTATATGCACTATACATATGTACTACATATATAGTGAAGGGGGGAAGGAGCATTTCCTCCTAATGCCAAACTCTAGTGGTCATGTTGGCCCCGCGTTAATTACGCGACTTTTGCTGCGGTCGCCTATTTGCTGATTGCATGACAGCATCAACGCTGTCCAAGGCACGCACGACTTGCGCCCTTCTGTGTGTCAGCCGCATCCTGGCTCATCCGCATCCCTCCCACGTTCCATGTGCCCCAATCCGAGTGCTCAGCCTCGGGCTTAGCTCAGCTCATCTGCAATGCTCGCATCGCTCGCAGAGCCGAGTTAGTCACGCCAATTTTATTGCATTCCTGTTCCTGTTTCTGTTGCTGTTTCTCCTGCTCCTGCTCCTGCTCCTGCTCCTGCTCCGGCTCCTTCTCCAGTGTGCCACTGGACATGGGCATTGGGTTGGACCAAAGGGGCGTGGTCACAGCCATTCACGACTATCAGTCGCAACAATGGCGTTGGCAGTTTTCGGATTTCAAGCGGAACAATTAAGTTAACGATCTGCGGACGAGAGCTGAGCGGCAAAGAGCAAAGTGCGCCTACACCAGGACCTCCCCAAAGGGGGGGTGGGGGGCAGGAGTCAGTCCTGGGGGCGTGGCAGTGAAGTGGGAACGTGTTAAGCCGGCCACATCGCCAGAGCCACTGGCCACTGGGACACGAATGTTGGCGACAATTGCACGTCCCTGTTGCTGGCTACATACTTTTTTGCCCGGACTTTAAGTCTTTAAGAGGACTCAGCCTCCGGGCCGAAAGCGGAAGCGGAAGTGATAGAGGAAGCGGAAATGGATGTGGAAGACTGCCCTTCAATTAGCCACACCAAAAAAAGAAGAAGAAACCAACCTGATTAAGTGAATAGGCCATCTAATGTGGCCAGCAAGGAGCAGCAGCAGCTCCAATGCAAATGCCAATGCAAACACAAGGAGAGCTGAAAAATGTCCTAAACCGGACAATTCCTTTTTTTTTGTTTTTTTAATGTTTAACTTTGGCCACCCCTCGGACTCTGGTCTTGGATTCAGATTCGGATACTGATTCACATTCCCACTCGGACTTCAAGCTCGTAGTCGGCACTCGAAGTTCATTCTCCTTCTTATGCCGTCGAGGAGGGACTTGAAAGTAAACAAAGTTTTAATTTCCTTCAATGATTTCTCTGGGCATTTGTTTTAGACCCCGAACCAGGAGTGGCGCTGCTTTGCTCTGAACTACCAGGCGGACCGGGCCTCATAATCAAGTTAGATAAATCTAAATCCTTTGCGATAAGCGGCTAAAGAATAGCCTAGCCCCCTGCTTGCACCCAAGGACTCGGAACCCGGGACCCGGGACCCGGGACCCAGACCCGAGCTCGAACCCGAACCCATACCCAGACCCAGAGACGTCTCCATCAAAGTTGCTCCGTCTGGTCGACTGCAAGGCTAAATGGGTTAGGCGAAGCCTGGGGGTTGCTTGCCCCGGAAAATTCGGTGTGGACTGGGGGCTGAATGGCTCCGGCTACGAATTAGAGTGCCACAGTCGGGCGAGTGAATAGAATTTGTAATTTCCGTTTTCGTTTTGTATGCTAACCCGCCAGGCAGGCGGCCACCATCCCCAGTCATCCTTCGTCCCTCTTTGCAACACACACTTAAAGCGCTCCACAATGAAACTGTATCCGGGATTCGATGTTGGCTGCACTGCAGCCTTCGAGCAGTTCAATTGGTTTCAGTTTCGGTTCGGTTCCGGGGTTCAGGGGGGATTTTGGACTGCGTGGAATACTTATGACGATGACTAAACACTCTGCTGACCATGTTTGCGATTGCATTTAAAGATGAGAGGCCATTGAAAGCGTTTTCCATTTGGCAGGGAGGAGCTGGGACCACAAGGATCCAGGGAATCCGGAATCCTAGGATTCAGGTGTCGCCTGATTTACGCTCTAGACTAGACTTGCCTCTGACTGGCAAAATAAATAAATAATCAGAGAAATACAAGTAATAAAAACTCACCTGGAGTTGGTCCTCCGGCAATTGCCGCCTAGTTGCCTTTACGCCGTTTCCGACGACGCCGCCATGCCACATGTCCCAGGAGCTGGGCCAGCCGGTTGGCCAGGAGTCTCACATGACGCCACTCCGCACAACTGGCCACCGCTATCAAAAGCATCGAGTTGAGGCCCAGTGCCAGCGATGCCGCCGAACTGCCCAGGTTACCCTTGGTCAACTGATCGGAACAGCGTCCAATGGAGTCAATATCCAGCTCGGACATCACACGACCATTAACCTCCAGCGGTGAGATGCAGTAGTTCTTCTGCAGGAAATCACTCAAATTGTGTGCTCCCTCGGCCAGGGGTCCATCGAGCAGTGTGTGAATGTGACAGCCGCAGGGAAAGTGATTGCTCACCAGCTGCAAATGCTCCACGCCATCCACAATGATGGCATTCGGATCGGGCGTCTCCAGGACATGGTTGCCAAAGAATTTCAAATGCTTGATGGCCGCTGTGCTGGTAAAGTTAAGCTCCTCGATTGAATCGATTTTGTTATTGAGCACCTGCAGTGTTTCCACCTGGGTCAAGCCAGTAAAGGCATCTGCACAGATCACCCCAAGATCGGATTCCTGCAGCGTTAGCAGCAGGACATTGGACAGACCTCGGAAGGTGAAGGGTGCCACCTCCTTGAGATCCATATAGGCGAGTTTCAGCAAACCCACAGTGTCCATGCCGAAAAAGGCGTCCTGCTCGATGCTTCGTATACCCGATGGCAGGATCAAATGTCCCACGTTCGTGAGGCTGGAAAATGCCGAGCTATCGATGCGAATCAACGGATTGTTGGTCAACAGGATCAGCTTGATGTTTGAAGTGCCTGCAAAGGCATTACCCTCGATCCGTTGGATCTGATTGTGGCTCAGCAGGATGGTGGAGAGATTCTGCAAACCGGCAAAAGCGAACTGAGCCACCGTCTGCAGTGGTGTATACTGAATGGAGAGCTCCTTCAGCCGGGGCAACCCTCGGAATGCAAACTGCTTGATACGCGTTATGTTGTTACCGTCCAGTGAGAGCTTCTTGAGAGCCCGCAAACCGGCAAATGAATCCGGCTTGATGATGGGAAAGTTGTTCTTGGTCAGCGCCAGATTCTCCACCGTTGCCGGAAGCTGGCGCAGTGGGATCTGCTCGAGGCCGCCCGTGTTACAGAGCACCTGTAAAATATAAAAAAAGGGGGTTTTCATTAATGGGATTACCAAGGATTCAAAGATATAGGGTCGAAAATGATTACTTCATATGTTTTCCCAATACTATATAATTTCTATTACTTTAGAGATATTTCTTTTTTAGACACAAGTTTATATAATATCTACCCATATTAATACCTTACTAACTTTAGTCTATTTAGACTTTCAACCCATCAACTCCACTTGAAGTTTGCATATACCTTTACCCAGCATCAACCCCATTGTATTCTATAATTTAGAACTTTTCCCCCTGCCTCATCCCTGATACCCCTCTTGTGCTCTTGGGCCACCTTTTGATGTGACATCCATTCAACCGTCACCGTCGCATCATCGCATCGTCATAGATTGTCTTTGTCTGTGGACTCATCAAAGGTTTTCGCTCTTAATCAGTTTGTGTTTTCTTGCTTTATGACATCGCCACGAATCCTCCTGGTGTCCTGGTGTCCTGGTGGCCTCCTCCTCCTCCCCGTGGGCGCCATTGATACCTCCGTCATGGCAACTGACAGCCGTTGGGGCAATCAGATCAGACGCCATTCGTAGGCGGGCGGCCCTCGAGATCCCAAGATGAGTCGGCGGTGGAGGAGGAGGAGGAGGGCGCGACTTCGTTTGATGCGTGGCGCGAAAATTGAATTTGTGGCTTTATTGCTGAAAATAAAATTAAATCGAATTCTTCTCGCTGGAGTGGAGTACCCACAGGCGGCGGCCCCCTCTTGTCTAGCATTGTTTTGTTGGCCATCTTTTCGTCTTGGTTCGCGTCTTTGGCCATTTTGCTTTGTGCCTTCATTTTTTATAACTATTATGTGCTGATGTGTGCGTTTTCCGGCCAAGGATTTCCCGGTCCTGCAACTTGCCTTGACGTGCACTTGGAGAAATTATTTGTGATGGTAGGGTACTGGGATAGGAGAAATCTCTAAAGATATCTAGTTGATAAGTTAAGGAACTCTTTACTCATTAGGAAGTATAATTGAATTTGGGATATATTTATGTTTTTTATTTTAAATTTCGGATTATTTATATACTTTAAGGAACTCTTTTTTATGAATTCTTAAAGAAAATAAATAAGACTAAATGCCAAATCGATTTTGTCAGAAGACAAGTCCAGGAAGTTGTAGTCTGATTTTCTTTCAGCAACTTTCACAGTTTTTCAACTGTTTATTGTTTGATTATTTAATATATATATATATATATATTTTATTAAATATATTTGCTTCAAATTCTATTTTTATTTATTTCCCTTTTCTTTCCTTGTAACTTGTTTTCTTCAGCATGTCCTTCTATGTACTTTCTTATCCAAAAAAAAAAGGTGGCATAACTGTCCATCGCTTGTCACGTTTCTCTTGACCCCGCCCAGTGTCCTTTCTTCCTGGTCACCCCCTCCTCCCCCTCAAGCAAATCCTCCTTCCCCCTCCTCTTCCCTTCTCCAGCTTGGCTGCACTTCTTGCGTTACATTTGCACAATTTTCATACGCTTCACCTTTTTAAATGAACGAATTAAAAGTTTCCTTTCTTTCGGCATTCACTCTCTCCTCCGCCCAGGATTCTTGGCTACCTCGCCGGAATTGTTATTGTTGCCTCAGTTCCGTTACGTTCTGTTTCTGTTTCTGCCTTTTGCTTCAAGTCCTGCTCCTGCTCCTGCTCCTGCTTCTGGTCGAGGTCCTGCTCCTACTCCAGCTTCTGTTTTTGATTCTGTTTCGGGTCTGTTCTGTTCCGTTTCGGTGGCGTTGTTCGATTTAAGGAAATTTTTCGTTGCCGTGCATTTACAGTCGCGAAGTTGGCGGGCGACACGGTTAAAAAGTCCTTGTTCGCTGAACTTTAACTGGCATACCAGGGGGAAGGGGACAAGAAGAGGAATGGAGGGCGCCCAGGCTGACCCCAAAAAAGTATGCTACACTTTTGTTACCTTTCGCGAGGCCTGAACTGAACTAATTTCGCATCTTAAATACAGTCAACTGTGGCGAAAGGGATGCAGCAGAGAATAAAAAAAATACTGAAGAATTGAGAATGGAGAATGTAGAACGAGAGAACGCTGAGTAAATCATTGCATTGTCCATAATCTGGAATAATGAAATCACTTAAGTTCTCAATTTGCTGGAAATGACGATGCCAAGTTCCCACTGGTAATAAGGATGCGCATTAAGCGTGCTCCAAAACTCTCGCGGGACACAATTGAATTGCGGGCTACGGGCTACACACAAAATGTGCAGAGCCTGGTGGCAGGGTGGGGGCGTGCCGCAAAAAGGACGTAGATGGAGGTTGGGGGAAGGGAAACTCAAACGGACAGACGAGACGAGAGGCAGGGGGGGAGGGAAAAAACAAAAGGAAAATAACCATTTGCCTGCATTTTCGATTTAATTTTTGTGCTCATCACTGTGCCGACGAGGCCGGGAGCAGCTGTGGCCAGTGCCTGGCCTGACCACCACATCCCCAAGAGATCCTCATCTGCTGCTCCCGATTCTACCAGCTTCTGTTTCATTTTCTCCGGCTCCAGCTACCCAGCTTGTCCTTTGGCTGCGTTTGCCTTTGACTGCTGCCACTTCTGGAGCTGCTGATGATGATGATGGCGCTGGGTTCTGCATACCATTGCATCTCCTTCAAGGACCTCCATTGCACTGTGGAGTCACCACTAGGAAAAACTGGGGAAGTGCAACTGGAAATCATGGTAATCCATGCTGAGTCCCACTTGTATTTAAGCCCGCTTAAAATATGTATATAAGCTTTTGCATTTAGGTTCTTTTGGAAAGAAGAACCTATTAAACTTGTTCGGTTTGATATTGTTCAATTGGACCTTGGTTTAACTTGTTTAATTTCTTATTTGTATATATAATAATTAGGTTATAATTCTAGTCAAGAGCCTTAAAAAGGAGTCATTTCTGAGCCTATAATTTATATGTATTCTTGATCAGCATCAGAGGAAGAATCGATCTAGACATGTCCGTCAAAATTTATTTATTTTTTTCGAAATTTTATAAAAATTCTATAAGGGGTTACATCATAAAAATTGTTTAAATTTGAATATTGAATTTGAAAACAAAGTATGCAGTTTTGTTAACCCAACAATAACTAATTAATTCGAAATTAAAGCTTTTTTGACTTAGTTATGATGTTTGTAATTTTTCGTATTTTTTGTTATCATTTTCATATGATATTTCTCATATATTTGTCATATAAAAATATTGATACATCTTTAGACAAAGATTGTCAGGATTTTAAAAGGGAATATATTGAATTTTTTTCTAAGGAATATCTCATAAAAGTATTGTAATATCAACATAATTATTTGAATAATCACTTCCACTGTGCAACTGTGCCTAGGATTCTGCCACTCCCCAGGATTATTCCAGGAATATTCGCCCGCCTACTCCCTCGACCCGGACCCGGCCCCGGCCCCGGCCCCGGCCTTTAGGAGTACAAGTAGATTGTTAAGCTTACTTGAGTCTGGGACAAGCAGATGCACTCGGCTGGGCATGATTTGGATGTTTCGGTTTGTTGCGAGTTCCACAGGCAGACGACAACGGAGAGCGCAATTATGAGCAGCAGCCAGGAATTGCACATTTCACGTTGTTGCTGACACGACAGTTTGGCGGCGTAATTGAGCTCGATTCTCTCTAGTCCGGCTGCTGCTCCAGCTTCAGCTCCAAGTCCTGCTCCTGCTCCTGCTTCTGCTGCAGGTCCTGCTCCTGCTCCGTATTGTCTCCGTAGTCTCTTCTAGTCGGTGTCCTTTTGGAATCTTCTCTGCGACTCTATCCGCCAAGTGTATATGCTTCACCTTCTTGGCCTGGGTCCTTCGTTCTTCGTCCTTCGTCCCTGTTGCGTGCTTCCTTGCACTTCTTCTTCTCGCTCCTCTTCTTCTTCGGGGTACTTTTCTCAGTTATTTATGTTTTTATATTGCGTTATTTCATTTGAACTTTCCCCTTGCCTTCTCCTCTCGCTTCTTTTATTATATATTCTTAAGCTTAATCATATTTATTTACGCTTCTTCTTGTAGCTCCTGTTGCTACGCCTCATGGGGGCGTGGCATGCCGATAACTGCTAAAAAGAAATAGAAAAAGCACAAAGATAAAGTGTAAGTGGGAGGTACTAGGCAAAAAATTATAAATTAATGAAAAGACGCATTGAAAATAATAGTTTTTAAACGGATTTTTTTATATTTGATTACATGTTTTTTAGAAATGGTAAAGTCTATAGTTTTAAAATGATTAGTTTTTAGGTTTTTTATTCAGGAATTCAAAACAAAGACAATCGTAATGAAGTCGAGCTGCTGTTTCTTTGCTAAGTTAATTATTCAACGATATTTATAGAGTTTTGTTCTATTATTTAAGTGATAGAAAGAAAGAAGATCACATTAGAAATTAAACATTTCAAGTGATATAGGAAAATCCTTTAAAGAACCTGGATCCTTGATCTCAAGATCACATTGGAAATTAAAAATTTCAAGTGATATAAGAAACCCTTTAAAGAACCTGGATCCTGGATCCCAAGATCTCATTAGAAATTAAAAAACTAAGAGGTATCATAGCACACTTTCTATAAGCTCTGTTCAATTTATTAGAATTTAGTTTTCAAAGTGCCATGCTGGCAATGGCTTTTTGTATTTCATTATACAAGAAAATCCCTTAAAGAGGACCTGGATCCTGAATCTCTAGATCTCATAACAAATTTAAAACTAAGAGATATCATAGCACGCTTTCTTTAAGCTCTGTTAAATGCCTGCTTTTTATATTTTATTATTTGGGTTGTCATGATGGAGGTTTCACTGTGAGACCACCAGGCCGCATGTGGCATTTAATTTCACTTCTCTATTGGCCATCCTGTGGCAGGCAGCCGGCAGGCAGCTCAGCTCAGCTCCTTTCCGGCCTTGTGTTCGCTCAAAGCCTTCGACACATCCAACATTTATGCCTGGATTAGAAGCCGGAGATGTCCGAACCGGATGGTGGAGCTGCGGCGGAGGTGACAGGACAAGTGGCAGGACAAATGCCAGATGTGACAGCAGTCTCTGGCTTTAGGAGCTCCTGATGCTGATGCTGATGCAGATGCAGATGCAGACAAGGCACGGCGAAAAGCTCCGCCGCTCTCTTCAAATACATAGCTGCTCTGCTTCTGCTGCTGCTTGTTAATCATTTATAATAAATAATGCCCAGGTAGGAGTTAAGTTGCTGCTGCATCAGCTACGGCCTCGACATCGGCAAGGATGAACAAAGCCAAAGCAATATAATAACTGAAATTACTCTAAAGAGAATTTCCAATGAGGCAATGTCGCTTGCACTTGCCACTGCCACTTGGAGATGATGCACGGCGACAGGCGTGGGGGTAATGGGTTAGGTCCTGCCCAGCCTCTCCTGTGGGAGGAAGGAGGAAGGAGGAACGGGCGGCTGACACAGCTTGTTTGAAATGTTTAAATGCACAAATCAAATATGCAAGCAGTCCAAACTCTGGGACTGGCCCGGGGCAACAACAGCACCTGATGTTAGAGGAGTTAACCCTGCTTAACCCCCTGCCCGTTCATGGCCAAATCCTTGCAACAGCTTCGGCTTTTAATTGGACACTGAGGATGGCAAAAAGGAGCTGCCGGCAGCCGGCAGCAGGACATCTGAAGAGTTGAGCCCAGGCAGCATCAGCATCAGCACAATAATAAATAAGCGCAGGCATAAATGCGTGACATTATAATTGGAAACCAACAAAGCAGGGCGGTCAAAGCGGAGTGTGGGCGTGGTCCTGGTGACCTGGGAAACGTGGAAATTCTGGAAAATCTGGGTGGCCTGCGAGAAACTAGCAGCTAATGCAATTCACAGATGCATTTGTTTGAAAGTTGAAGCGAAGCTGAGATAAAGGGGCTGGAATTTTTGGGCAAAAATATCCTTTAAATTAAGGGCGTTACACTTGAAAAACATATGCAGGATAGGAGTTTTATTTCATTCCAACTAATTGCAAAAAGTTGATGTGCCACAATAATTGCTTAAAATATAAAGTTTTCTATTGTAAATTAAACAGGAAATGGTATACCTTTGGGATGGCCAACCAGGCACGTTCTGGTTATAATTTGTCAGGAAAATAGGACATTCTAGCTTAGACTTGACTTAATGAACTCCAAACTCCCAAGGAGCATGGAAAATAATATTGAAAACATGGCCATATCACTAAGAACAAGATATTTTAATTTATGCAAAACAGTATTTAGCAGAAGCAATCACACTTGATCGTGGTAATTGAAGGTTTCTTAATTATTTCTTGTACATATTACTTTCCAAATTAGTTTCGTTAATCTTTGGACTAGTTAGTTAGTTAGTTAGTTATTGCTATTATTTTGCATTATTATTTTCTTCAAGTGCTGAAAAGGTGGCAGTTGTGTCAGTTGTATAGGAATTCGCGACTCGCTGTCTCTCTGGCGCTTTGTCCTGGATCTGTTCACGTTGCTCCCCTCACCCTCCACACCAGTCCCTTGCAATCGCATTACTTTACGTTGCCTTCATCTAAAAGGATAAAAGCAAAATAACAAATGCCAGCACAAACTCAAATAATGCACAGACAATTGTGTAAGCAACAGCAACAAGGACGAATGCCAACTCCAGCCGGAATGGGAGGCGACAGGATGGGACAGGACGGGACAGCACAGGACTGCATTGGCTGCACATGTGTGTGGAATCAGGACAATGGCAAAAGGAATCCCAAATGTGGCAGAAGGAGCTCAGCATGGAGACCAAGTCGGAGCCGGAGTCGGATTCGGAGTCGGAGTCAGCGATGTGGCTTAGCATCCACTTGGCACAGGAACCAAGCCGGGCATCAATGCCTTTAAATAAACATGTGGAATATGCGGCCTCCCAGGCTGAGCTAGACACCTTCCTCCTCTCCCTCCTTCTCTCTGTCCAGGATGACGACATCCACTGCCATTCGCAGCTAATCAATCAATTTTATTAAGCATTTTATTGAATTTACACGGCGGAGGAGCCATGGCGAGGAGACCAGACAGGCAACAGAAACTGGACCAGGAAACAAGGGTCGAGCCATGCTGGCGGTAAAAATGCACTTAAAGAAAAGGAAATTACAGGAAAAAATTTAAATTTCCAAATATTAACAGTGTTCATAAGGTGTACTTAAAATTTCAAGCACTTCCAGCAAATAATTTCTGAAAATTTCAACTGGAAATACTAAAACAAAGGAAGGAAAACCTTTTAAGAAACACGGAAACCTTTCTTCATCCATAATTTGTAAAAAAACAAAGTTTCAGGTTTAAACAGAAGTGTTTCAATAGATTCTTTAATATAATATACCTTATCATCTGTACAAAAAACAAGGGTAAGGTTAGGGATTATATTAAGTCTGCCTCAGGTTTCATATAACTAGCACATATTGAGGTGCCAGGATCCTATATAAAATAATCACTAATTAGTATAAATCTAATATCTTTTGGTGTATTCAGGGATTGGCATTAGTATTTCTAAAGAGATGGGCCTAGGGATGGTCCCTGGTCCTGGTCTTGGACACGTCTGTCTGCTTTGACTCATGTGCAATCCTTTAAGCTCTTATTAGAGCCAATTAAGAGGATATTTTTGTTTCTCAGCCTCACTCAGAGAGCAAAGAGAGCTCAGGGGAAACTAAGGGGAATTCTAAAAAAAAAAAAAAATTGAAAGAGAGAGAGGATATAAAAAAAGAAGAACGGAACAGAACTGGACAAGCGAAAAGGACAAATTGAGAAAAAATAGGTTCAGCAGGCAGCAAAGGACTTTGCCAGAAAACAGATATAAAAAAAAGCAACTGCAAAAAAAGGTGCGACCTACAGCTGCCAAAGGATCTATGGGGCTTCGAAATCAACCAGGAGAGGGAAACGAGTGACAACAAACTAGAAACGAAATTTAATAGTAAAGTAACTATAGACGAAATTTCTGCCTAAAAATAATCAAAGCTCTTTACTCTTTTTCAATTCATATTTAATTTGTAAACTAAGTCCTTGAAATGGGGATTATATATATATATTTGTTATATAAGAGAATTCCTACAGCTTGGGCATATTTCATATTTATCAGAAAATCAGCGTAAAGTAAATCGATGCGAATGGATGCTGATGGTGGGATTAGTGGACAGGACTGGGCCATTCGCAGGATGCAAAGCTCGCAAAATCAAAAATCAAAAGCGAAAGCGGCAAACTGAAATCAAAACGAAAGCAATCAGTGCAGCTGACCAATGAATGGACATGGACACATGGGCAAAAAATAAATAAACCAAAGATGAAAATCAAAATCAAAATATCGAAAATAAATAAATAAAATTTCAATTTACACTCTTCTTAAAATGTGACGAGGTCGAAGGCCTAGTTGCAATCTTTAAGCCCATTCCTGCCACCTGCAACTTGCAGCTTGTAATCTGCAACCTGTACCAATATATATTTTAAACAAAACAATAAGAATAACAATATTCAGGGCGTAACCTAATAAACCAGCCCTTTTTGTGCAACTTTTGGCTTTTGCTTATCGTCTCTATCATAGATTGTAATATTCAAAAGCCACAATTTTAATTACGCATGTTGCCTTTCCAGCTTTCTGTTTTTGGTTTTTTTTTTGTTTTTGCATTGTTTTGTTTAATTTTAGGTTGTTAAATAATCAAGGCAAAGACTCCGATGCCTGAGAAATTCACTTTAAAGCCAATTTAATTATTAGTTTGCGGTAATCAAAGTCGATCTAAGTAGCGTTTTGTACATATAATATTGTTGAGATATTTGCAAATACTATCTCGTTGCCTCATCAATTAAAGCTGCTTGACACAGTGGCATATCTCGGCAAATATGCAGCTTATCTTATGTATTTGAAAGAGGTCCTTTTTGGGTGTCATAGGGACATAAGCCCCTATGTCCTTAGGCATGGTCTGCATTTAGCTTGCAATCGCCTTCGGAAATTGGGGCCAACTGGGCAAAGTTTATTCAAGTTTCTCCCAGAAGCAAGTTGTGTCTGCTAATTCCTTAATCTTCGAATGTTAACTACAGCGAAGGAGCGGCGGCTGCCAGGGTCATAACTCACTGGCTCCTTGTGGCAGCTGCATTG